ATAAAATAAATTGAAATCCATGAGTTCATAATGGGACTTAAAAAATTATTGGTCAACTTTAGAAGATGCTGGCGATTTAACTCATTTTGAAAACTGGTAAATAAGGAAAAGAAATAAAATCCCTTCATGAACTATATACCTCAGAGTTAACAAATACAATGAGGGAGAAGTTTCTCTTTATAGAAGTATTCTACCTAATAATGAAGAAAAGATGTTTTGAGTAACTGATGAATGATGTCACCACTTTACTGCCTCTAATTAATGGAAGAAAACATATGATCATCAATGGCTACTAAAAAATACTAGGTATGAAGTGATGGGGAGCTTTATAATGGATGGATAAGGCTGGCAGTACCTGAGTCCACAGATTTTTACTAAATCTCACACAAAAGGAAACAACAGAACATTAAATGCCATCTGGTAGAAGTCCACAACACCACGTATAAACTATTCTTGTCAAGAACAGAACTTGAATCTGATCAAGCCTCTAGATATAATAGCCAGTTTATAAGAAATACAAGGGATAGAAAAATATATTAAATGATAACACGGGTGCACCTAGCAAAATCTAGAAAGCAGAATGGAAGAAACAATTATGAGACTAAAAGTATAGCCTGATGTGGATATTTAATATTCAGTATACTTAATTTAAATGTTTAATAATATTAAATCTTTAATATTAAATAAGTGATCTTTTAAGATATATTGGTATTGCAAATGTTTACAAATAGTTTCTTAGTTGAATCAAGATTGATATGTGTTGCTAATTGTGGAGCTGGGTGATAGAGTCATGATAATTCATATTACTCTACAGTTTATATTTGAAATTGTATATAAAAATAAACTTGAAAAGACACTTTAATTTGAATTACTATTTTATCTTTTAAATGTGGTATTTCTCCTTAATTTACCCTAAGAAAACACTAAAATTTTATCACAGTACCTATTAATGGTGGTTTTTCTTCTGTGAATTAAGTGAGGAAAAGAATTCAATGGGTTTATTTATTTATTCCATGGGTGTATTATCTGAATTAAGAATTCAGTGTTTTTAGTAATCTACCTACCACTTTAATAGTATTGTGCTAGTGAGATTTAATATACTTTAAGGATAACTCTTAAGTGTTGTACAGATATTTCAGTTTTATAAAAGATTAGTAATACTGGTTGTTACCTAAAATAAAATATTAATTGGAGATCAGAGATTTAGTAGCCAAATTTGTGAGTTTTACGTAAAATATGTAAAACTGTGTCCCCTGTTTCTCTTTGATTTACTTTATTTAGTCATTCATCTACCTGTGAAACATTGTACTCTTCATTTAATGCTTGACATAAGAGCAGCAATAAGCCAATCCCAGCACTCAAGGAACGTAAGGTCTTAGATGGGGTACCTGAAAACAAAAACACTACAGTGATTATTACATCGTTTGCTCGTAACCAAGATAGAGGTATATATTCAAGAAGTTTTGGGAGTGCTGAGGAAGGATACCTGATTTAACATTGGGTTGAGATAGAGTTGGCAGAGATTTGTTGGAGGAGTAGCTGTGAGGTGGTACTCAAGTTAAAAAATTACATAATAAAAAGAAAAGAGAAGGAATGATACAAAGGCAGGAAGTGGAAAGAGTAAGTGGCTTTCAGAGAATTACATGTAGCTTGCCATAGCTTGAACTTAGGGATTTAAGTGAGCAACCAATTGAAAATAGATTGGAGAATTAGAGATTCCTGAAAGGTCTCATAGATGTTTGTTGAACTTTGTTACAGAACAGAAGACTTAAAAAAGAAAGGCCACGATCGGCTTTTTATTTTAGAAAGAGCATTTGCAACAATAGGTGGAAATAACATTTCTTAATTAGGGAGAGGCTTTTGACCTATTTTAGCTCAGAGTTTTCAGTCTATAATTTTTTTTTCTGGCCCCATATATATTTTTCTTTCATTTTTAAAATCTCTTTTTAAAAAAATCATGCAAAACATTTACATAATTCTAAAACTGAAGACTCATTTCAGTTGCTGTTCCTTCTGCTCTTCCCTCCCTCTGTCTTTAGGTGATCATTTTTTAATTAGTTGTGGTATTCTGCCATTGTTGCTTTTCAAAAAATAGAAGCGAATACATATAAATATTTTTCTTTCTTATGCAAAAGAGACGTTCTGTAAACTTTTTTTTTTCACTTAAACTGTATCTTAGATCATTCTATAGCAGTAAATAAGATTCCTTACTCTTTTTGCATCTTGTTTTTTTGTTTGTTTTTTTTGAGATGTTTTGCTCTTGTTGCCCAGACTGGAGTGCAGTGGCGTGATCCTGGCTCACCACAACCTCCACCTCCAGGGTTCAAGCGATTCTCCTGCCTCAACCTCCCAAGTAGCTGGGATTACAGGCATGCGCCACCACACCCGGCCAGTTTTGTATTTTTAGTAGAGATGAGGTTTCTCCATGTTGGTCAGGCTGGTCTCGTACTCCCAACCTCAGGTGATCTGGCCGCCTCTGCCTTCCAAAGTGCTGGAATTACAGGTGTGAGCCCCCGCTCCTGGCTCTTTTTGCATATTCTTTATCCTACTAAAGAACAACTCAATAAAATACTTTATTCAGTATTTCTAATACCCAAGGTAAAGGCATTCTAACAATAAACCCGTGCGATTAGAGTAGCCTAGCCTCGGGTTGTTGCTTTTATCTCCAGTCAGTACTACTGCCTAAAGAATGTGAAAGGAAAGATTTCTATATTCATTTTAGAATTTTGATTTGTTAACAAGCAGTTTGTATGCATCTGGAGTGACTAATGACTAATAAGAATTACAGGCCCACAATAGCCCGCACAATTCAGTCATTCATCTATCTACTGTTCACATATTTATTGAGCACACATCTGTGTGAGGCACTGTGCTAGGTACTCTGGAAAAAAAATGAGTTTCATAAATATCCATTGTATCATAGATAGAAATTTAAGACCTCTTGAGGTCTGTTAACCTTACTGTGTATGATCTCTACTTTCAAGATCTTCAAAGGAGATACTTTATTGCTACTAGCAGAATAATTTAATAGAACTCAGATTCCTCAAAAGAAAGAGATACACTTTCTTTCTTTGCTGAAGAATTCATTTAGCAGCACTTATCTTCTAAGTGTTTTCTGACTACTGTACCAAACTTGGTTGTATCTTTAGTGCTCCCCATACATGTGGATCAGTTGTTTTAAACATAGCGAATAATGATATTTATCCATTTATATGACTGTCTCAAGGTTAAATAGTTCTTTTAATGGTAAGGACTTCGTCTCATCTCAGTCTGTCCCCAGTGCCTAACATATGATAGTTCTCAATAAAGTGTATTGAGTAAATGAAATATTTTGCTTACCTACTGTTTTAAGGGAAAAATAAAGTTGTATGTCAGGAAAAAAAGTCTTATAATATCCTTGCTAAAATTTCTTGCAAGAGATGCAAGTAAAATATGGCCTTAAAAATTAAAATTTAATATGATGTTTTTGGACCTCAAAACTATGTGACCAGAGAGTAGACACGATGGCAAAAATGATGTTCATAACATATAAGCCTTTAAGAAGCAAATTTTAATTTACCGTTTCTCTGAATATAACATTTATTCCATTAGATTTAAAAACACAATAATGCTTATTCATACTTTAAGCATTTATATATCTCACCTGTAGAATCAAAATTCTTCCTGCAAACTTTTATTTCTGTTTTCATGCAGAAATTATTAAATTCTTGCTCTGGAAAAAGAGAATTACTGTGTTGTCTTAGAGTAAATACCTCCATCTGGTGGCATTTCAGAAAATTACAGAAGAGGACAGGAAGCTTGTATTTTCTTTTTTTTTTTTTGAGAGGGAGTCTCATGCTGTCGCCCAGGCTGTAGTGCAGTGGCCGAATCTCAGCTCACTGCAAGCTCCGCCTCCCGGGTTTGCGCCATTCTCCTGCCTCAGCCTCCCTAGTAGCTGGGACTACAGGCGCCCGCCACCTCGCCCGGCTATTTTTTTGTATTTTTTAGTAGAGACGGGGTTTCACTGTGTTAGCCAGGATGGTCTCGATCTCCTGACCTCGTGATCCGCCCGTCTCGGCCTCCCAAAGTGCTGGAATTACAGGCTTGAGCCACCGCACCCGGCCGGAAGCTTGTATTTTCTTGTGTATCTGTAAACTGTGTTACCTGTGGTTTCTCATAAAGCCAAATGAAATTACATCAAAATCTGATTCTACCGTATGTACCAGAAATTTAATGCCCTAGTTTTCAACATATAAACAAATGACCTTGGGGATAATTATATAATGAACTGTTTAGTCCAGACCATTTCTGCTCTATCTTGGACTAAAAATTAGAAATGGAAAAAAAGATAGTTTATGAAATGTTAATTGCTTTTGTATGTATGTGTATGCATGTTAGGAAATATGAGAATTTGCTATTTCAGATTTATTGCTACAGATCCACGAAGAACTATTAAGCGTTACTGATTTTTTAAAATAAATTATATTTTATCATAGCTCGATTATAATAAACTACATTCTCCTGGAGTGATAGAGATGGAAACTTGAAAACAGGCAGAAACTACAAATAAATTTCTGCTTATTACTGTTAAGAGTTTTTTTTAACACATTTAATCTTTTCTTCGCACATTGCTTACTTTATAATTGCTAGAACTTTATAAAGGTAGGTATCATGGCTTCAACTTCTTGACTTCTCAAGGTTTCTAACCCAGGATCTTGTACTTAGTGGATTTTGCATTTTGTCTTAGAAGAAGATTACAATCTTGTTGCTTATGTTTTAGCCATAAAAATCTATAAAATATGTCATAAATCTATCAAGTATGTAATGTATCACGTATAAATTATCAAGTATGGCAGTTGTTACTATAGATTAAGTCAATTTATTTTTCTATTTTGTTGGCCAAAGATAGTTGAAATATTAAGTATGAAGTGAAATTAATGATTTGGGGCTTTCTGCTGACGTCTAAGAAAAATTAAATTCCTAATGAATTTTGTTTGAAATTGTTTATTTTCAAATTATAGCCAGTCGGATGATGATTCTGGGTCAGCTTCAGGCTCTGGATCTGGTTCGAGTTCTGGAAGCAGTAGTGATGGAAGCAGTAGCCAGTCAGGTAGCAGTGACTCTGACTCCGGATCTGAATCAGGCAGTCAGTCAGAGTCTGAGTCAGACACTTCCCGAGAAAACAAAGTTCAAGCAAAACCACCGAAAGTTGATGGAGCTGAGGTAATCAATAAAATACCCAATGAAAGGTAGATTGCTTGTATTACTTTGGGAAAATTTAGAGGATTGGTTTATACCATTCTTAATCTAGCTTTTAGAGAAGACAGCGTTTTAAATTAAAATTTACTTTTAGTGATCCTCACATTCGTGGTGGTACACGTGTGGACTAATTGGCTTGGAATAGATGCATTTTCGAACTAGAAAACACATAGTGTAAACCACATGCAGGCAAATAAAACGTTTTCTGCCTCTTACGCAGAAATTGAGTTTCATAAATATCCATTGTGTCATAGATACAAATTTAAGACATCCTGAGGTCTACTTGTTAACCTTACTGTGTATGATCTCTACTTTCAAGATCTTCAAAGGAAATACTTTATTGCTACTAGCAGAATAATTTGATGGAACTCAGATTCCTCAAAGATAATGATAGAATAGGATAAGGGGCTATTCTGTTTGAAAAAAACTACTACAAGAGATACAAAAACTTGTCTATACCTCATGGTAGTGTACAGTGTTACTCAGAGTACCTGTCTGTGATGAGATAAGATGCTTGAGGGCCAGAATATAAATCGACACACACTTCCTTCATAGAAAAAAATGTTACTACTGCCCCCCACCAAATCTGAACTAAAACAATGTGCCTAGTGACATCGTTGGTGTATATTCTGACTCAGCCTCTTCACCTCACACTGATAAAATAGGTAACCACTCTATGAGTTGCACTAATAAAGCGTATTATCACTTAGATGCTCTGAACATCAAGAGGATATTGATTAACATTGTCTGTGGAACTCAACACACCATTTTTTTTATACATAACTAAAACTCAGCATTTTATTTAATTATATTGCAATGATAATCGTGTTACATATAGGTAAAGAAAATAGTCTTTATTACTTTGAGGCAGTAAAGATGGTGGTACAGTTTTTCAATAAATTAACCTTTTTTGCAATTTTCTTAATACTTCATCGTTCACTGGTTTATATTTCTATTATAGTTTTGGAAATCTAGTCCTAGTATTCTGGCCGTTCAGAGATCTGCAATGCTCAGGAAGCAGCAGCAGCAGCAGCAACAGCAACAACAGCAACATCAAGCCTCATCTAATAGCGGATCAGAAGAGGTGCATTTTCTTCATGAGCTTTTATTTTAAAAGTGGACATGCTGCTGCATCACTTAACTAGTATTTGGTGAAATTATTAAAAATAATAGGTGCTTTGAAAGAATAAGTAGGAAATACTTTAAGTGTATATATCAAGAATGTTGAAATGCACCGTTTGCATTGTCCAATAATTCCAATTTTAGGGATTAATCCAAAATAAGCAGTGGGACATTTGTGTGCATTTGCTCATCACAGCAAAGTTAGAAATAAACTAAATGTGAACTCCGTGGGAAATAATTAAATTTGATATGCACCTACACACATATATCCATATACATGTACGAATGAAGGAATATTATACCATTAAATCATATTTGTACAAAATAATAGAATTCTCAACATAATATTTTTGGAAGAGTAAATTGTTTCAACAATGCAGTTTTTGTGTGTGTGCAAGCATGCATACATGTATGTTTGCACAAAAACATTCAGGAAAAATTATAACAAAAAGTAATAGTAATGGTGAAGAAAAAAGTTCAAAACTTGGCATGCCGGCACCTAGGATTTCTTGTTTTGGCTATACTAGGCAACAATAATGGTCTCCAGAGAGGGTAGATTTTAAGGTTTTATACAAAATGCTGACATTTTGCTGTTTACTTAATTTCACTGGCTATATTAATTTGCAGTAAAAATGTTACTAATTCCTTTCAGCTAGTTAGTATAAATAAAACTACATTAAAAAAGGCTTCACAAGTGCTGTTATTCGTAAAGTGAATGTTGTATAGCAAGTAAAATTTTGATATGGTTACATTCTAATCATTAGTGGATGATACTAACTTTATTTTTTTTCTGCAGGATTCTTCTAGCAGTGAAGATTCCGATGACTCATCAAGTGAGGTCAAAAGGAAAAAGCATAGAGAGTATGTCATTTTGTTCAACTGACTTCTTCATTTTAGAAAAATCTTAATGATTTCATATTTCTTTCTTTATGAAAATTGTTGTCAAAAGGAAAGTCTTCTAAATTCTTAGTTCTTGGCATTTTATAAAGTTAATTTACACCATTACACCATTTAAAGATAAATCTTATCTTTAACATTTATCTTTCTGTGACTACCCGAGGGTATTGTGCCATTTCTTTATCTCCTGTAACTCCCCCTATATATTTTTAAACTTTAGTGATCTCCTTAGTTGTAATGTCAGAAAATCTTAGTAACTTGGGAATATAGGAGTATAGGGATGACAGGATGACTGATTTGGGATGATTCTTATAATTATGTTAATAGCTATCCTTACTATTCAGCTGCATGTGAAATGTACTTCATACTGTAGAACTCATTCTAGAAACTCACTGTATTTTCCTAAAGATCTTGACCCAGCAAGTATTAAGAATACTTCAAAATACCAATCCATGTTTATTTTAATGGTTTGGAAACATTCCATTTTCTTGACTTTTATTTTCCTATTTGCCTTTGATATTCTGCCTATTAAAGTGGTTACTTGCTTTTCCCAAAAGATTCAGGCATTTTTAATGTGAAGACTCATATCTTTTATTAGTCTGTTCTATCTTTTATTCTGAAAGGTCAATCATTTATCTTTGGATTTTTTTTCCTTTCTCTTTCTGCAAATCTCTCTGATCCTCCTATTAATAGATGTATATTGGATCATCCATTTTTTTTTTTCCGTTATAAAAATATTAAATGGAGACTTCTTGGCATGCAAGCCCTGAAAAGATCTCAAAGTAAAAAATTTGCTTCTATTATGTTTTTATCATAAGCAGATATGATCATATACGCTTGTTTATGTAGCCTTCATCATAGTTACAATTGGTGCAAAAGATACAGAGCAATGAAGCAGAAGCATAGCTGAAATAGGATATAGTGTATTTATAAGAATTCAGTATGTGCCTTTCATTTGAACTTCTTATGATAGCAAAATATTAACATCCATTATTTTTCTCTACATGTTGATTGGAATGAAGTAGACTTAATAGGCTAAAAATAATAAAAGTAAGGTACTCAGATTGAATGTTTGAGATGGTACTAATGTTGCTTTTGTTTTGTTTTTACATTTTTCTGTAAGCTTTTCTTAGTGAACGGGCACTATTTAAAAAATCAGTTTAAAAAGATGTTTTTCAAAATCACAGCCTCTAGAGAATTAAAATGGCATGGATTAGTATCTCTTTTTTGAGAGGGCAAGTAGAATAATTTTACAAGATTTTCATCTATAGTGAAAATTAAAATATCATTTATTTGCTGTTCATTGACGTATAACTGATAAACAAAACTAGACTTGTGAGAGAAGTCTATGAAGAATATTATCCAGAGTGTGTTTATTCTGTAAATGCTTCATCATTTTTAGCATGAGTAAAAGCAACAGTATTTTTGATAATAACTGGAATATAGTTTAGTTGATTTGATCATCTTTGTATTAGGGATAAAATTTGCTGTATAAGTACAAATAAAAATGCTTTATAAATTTTGTCTACAGTGAAGATTGGCAAATGTCTGGGTCAGGATCTCCGTCTCAGTCTGGTTCAGATTCAGAATCTGAAGAAGAGAGAGATAAAAGCAGTTGTGATGAAACAGAATCTGATTATGAGCCAAAAAACAAAGTCAAAAGCAGAAAACCTCAAAATAGGTATGGTCTCAGTTTGGTGGTGAAAATTGATTGTAGAAGGTGTTCATTCTTTGTGTATATAGTTTTTCAAATCTTGGTTTTTTTTTTTTTTCTTCTTGTCCTTTCCTAGATCTAAGTCAAAAAATGGAAAGAAGATTCTTGGACAAAAAAAGAGACAGATTGATTCGTCTGAGGAGGAGGAGGATGAAGAAGATTATGATAATGATAAAAGAAGTTCTCGTCGCCAAGCAACTGTTAATGTTAGCTATAAAGAGGATGAAGAAATGAAAACAGATTCTGATGACCTATTGGAAGTCTGCGGAGAGGACGTTCCTCAACCTGAGGAAGAGGAATTTGAAACCATAGAAAGATTTATGGATTGTCGGATTGGGAGAAAAGGAGGTAGTTTTTTAAAAACCATTTATTGTTTACTTATTTAAATAATATTTACAAGAGTAAAGGACTGGGCGCAGTGGGTCACCCCTGTAATCCCAGCACTTTGGGAGGCCGAGACGGGTGGATCAACTGAGGTCAGAAGTTCTAGACCAGCCTGGCCAACATGACAAAACCCCGTCTCTACTAAAAATACAAAAATTAGCTGGGTGAGGTCGTGCGCACCTGTAGACCCAGCTACTTGGGAAGCTGAGGCAAGGGAATTGCTTGAACCCACGAGGCTGAGGTTGCAGTGAGCTGAGATCGCGCCACTGCACTCCAGCCTGGGTGACAGCGAAACTCCATCTCAAAAAAAAAAAAAAAAAGAGTAAAGTGTTAAAGATGTTTCAACAGTGTTGAAAGCTAAGAGGGTGGATTTGTTGTTGTTTTACTTATGTTTTATAAAAGTATGCTTTGCTTAGCCTGAGTATCTTCTTAATAACCATCTGACCACATTTTTTTTTTTTTTTTTTTTTTGAGACGGATTCTCACTCTGTCGCCCAGGCTGGAGTGCAGTGGCACGATCTTGGCTCACTGCAACCTCCATCTCCCGGGTTCGTGCCATTCTCCTGCCTCAGCCTCCCGAGTAGCTGGGACCACAGGCGCCTGCCACCACGCCTGGCTAATTTTTTGTATTTTTAGTAGAGATGGCATTTCACCGTGTTAGCCAGGATGGTCTCCATCTCTTGCCCTCATGATCCGCCACCTGCCTTGGCCTCCCAAAGTGCTGGGATTACAGGTGTGAGCCACCGCGCTGGGCCTCCACCTGACCACATTTCCTATATTGTGGATAATTATAGAATAGTGCTGTGGGATCTCAGGTGGACCTCTGTCTTTTTATTTTTTCTAATTTGAAAAAGGAGGGGATTATATTAGATAATTCTGAAATTCTTAGTTTTATTTATGAGCAATAGAATTTCCCATAAGTTTCTATACCCCTGATACTTTAAGAGTATTATGTTTTTGTGTTCGTATTTTTGAAATTTTGAGTTGAAATATAATCCTACAACAGAATTGATTACATGGAAGGATCTTATGCTTTTGTTTTCAGCTACTGGTGCTACTACAACCATCTATGCAGTTGAAGCAGATGGTGACCCAAATGCAGGCTTTGAAAAAAACAAAGAACCAGGAGAGATTCAGTATTTAATTAAATGGAAAGGATGGTCCCATATCCACAACACTTGGGAGACAGAAGAAACCCTCAAGCAGCAGAATGTTAGAGGAATGAAAAAATTGGATAATTATAAGAAAAAAGATCAGGAAACAAAAAGATGGTAAGTATGCTGTATGTCATACTTTTTTTTAATAGTTCAAAGATTACTAAGCCTTTATGTTAATAAAGAATACGTAGTAACATCAAATGATAGCCTAAAATAACTATAGACTTTATAATACAGTTGGCTGTCTTTGTCCACAGTTTTTCTATCCTTGGTTTCAACCCACCATGGATTGAAAGTATTCGGAGGGAAAAAAAAAAACAACAATCAACAATACAAATTAAAAACAATACAATGTAACAACTATTTACACTGTAAATGTAAAGTTAGGTATTTTAAGAACATCTAGAGATGATTTAAAGTATAGGGGAGGATGTGTGTGGGTTATATTGCAAGTACCATGCCATTTCATGTAAGGGACTTGAGCATCCTCATATTCTGGTATCTGTAGAGGATCCTGAACCAATCCCCTGCAGGTACTGAGGGATGATTTTATTCCATCTCAAGGTAAAACTCCTAGGGGTGTACCTATCTAAACCTGCCCGTGGTAACAGTCACATAGAGTGTCTCATACATTATAAATTACAAATTTTTAGTTAAAAATTAATGATGCCTTATTCCTGTTAGTTTCTTTATTACTGGAACTTGGCCCACACGGTGGCAAAATGGAAGATTCTGTGCTACAAATAGTGTTGGGATTGGGGGAGTGACAGGTTATTTATGGGAGATTTTTAAGTCTGTTCCCGGATTAATAATTTTTCAGGTTGAAAAATGCTTCTCCAGAAGATGTGGAATATTATAATTGCCAGCAAGAACTTACAGATGATCTACATAAACAGTATCAAATAGTGGAACGTATAATTGGTTAGTGATAAATGATTCTGGTTAAAAAAACTTTATCTTTTTATGCTTGAAATAATCTGAAAAAAAGTCATAAATTTGCCACTTACACATCAAACACAGTAGCTTGCTCTTACTAAAACAGTATTGTAAACTAGATAGCTAAATTTTACTCATGTAGCCTTTACTAAGAATTGTGCATTTGATGATTAAATGTAAAAAAAAAAAAATAAGTAAATGCCTGATTATCTCACAGCTCATTCCAATCAAAAGTCAGCGGCTGGTTATCCTGATTATTACTGCAAATGGCAGGGCCTTCCATACTCAGAGTGCAGCTGGGAAGATGGAGCTCTCATTTCCAAAAAGTTTCAAGCGTGCATTGATGAGTATTTTAGCAGGAACCAATCAAAAACCACTCCTTTTAAAGATTGCAAAGTGAGTATTGTCTAACATTTTAAATTATTAAAAATATATTTATGCATTATAAATATTTACAAGCCTAAATACAGCAGTTGGATCCTGATTTCAGATAGACTAAGGGAGAATAGTTCTTGGTTAATTGGTCTTACAGGAAGTAAACTTGCTGCAATTGTTGTGTGTTTTTGTTTTTTAGTTTTAGTTTTATAATTTTTTATTTGAAACTTTCTCTTTTAAAAAAATTGTAAACGGTGTTTTGGTCAGTATATCTTCTTAAATGTTGTACTGTCTTTTATCTTGTTGAGCATCGCTATGTCAGAAAGATAAGTTGGTTATGTCGATTGTTGGAAAGGGTTGGGAAACTAAATAGAAAAAAGCTCTTGGAAACTAGAGATATGCTCAATATTAAAGATAGTGGATATTTTCTTAGAAGGTAGCGAAAGAGGAGAGGGAGGGATATAGGAAAGTATCCAGAACTACCTTGCACAATACTTTCTGAATCCTTGTAACTTACCCAAAGTTACTAGTGATAGTGTTGAGATCTGTATAGTACTAGACTTTCTTTCCTTATTAAAAGAATTACATTCTTCATAGGGATAACTTGAAATTCAGAAATTGAATGGTAAGCTAAGCCAGTTTTATGGTTTATTTGTAGCTTAAGGCTGGAGCAATGGTTGTGAACAATTTAACATAGGTTTTGCATGTGATATACATGAGACTCATATTTTGGCAGGAACTTAATTTTCTCTATAAATTTTTATTTAAAAAAGAAGGCAAAATATTTCACTTTTCATTTTTGTTAGAATAGTAGAAAACAGTATTGACTGAATCCTCAGATACATTTTGAGTAATGGAATTTCTGAGCTTGATGATGAGAGATGAAAGTTAAGAATTTATGGTAAAGCTGAGGCTTTCATCTTTTAGTATAATTTCTTATATTTAATAATTCTACATAATTTTATTTCTGCTGAAGGTATTAAAACAAAGGCCAAGATTTGTAGCCCTGAAGAAGCAGCCATCCTATATTGGAGGACATGAGGGCTTAGAATTAAGAGATTATCAACTGAATGGTTTAAATTGGCTTGCTCATTCTTGGTGCAAGTAAGTGTATTTTGAATCATCTATTTAATTTGACAGAGTAAGAATTTTACCAATACAGAATTCAGAAAAGATTTCCATTTACATAAAGGATAAGACTTTGGCAGTTGATACGCTACTCTTTGTATTTCCTAGTTTATATAAACAATATTTATTACATACTAGGAAGAAAATCCAGTGGAGTTTGAGTTTAACTTGATTGTTGCCTTTTTAAAATACGTTTTTATTCTGTTTAAAAATCAAAATGCATATCCATTCTCATCCCATGCTGTTCCTGGAATATTCTCTTTTTTCCTAGTTATTTTAATATCCGTTTAGTCTTCTACATTTTTTTTCTGTCCTCTGTGGCCCCCAGTCTACTTTTTGACTCTCAGTTGCAATTTAGCTGTAGGTTTTTTCTTTTAATCTATGTTCTTCCTATATGCTTTTTACTTATTTAATACTTAATATATCTGGACTCTACTAGTAGTAGATGAATTGCATTATTGTCTTTATAATTGATTAAACATAATACTATTAATCTTTAAGCCTCTTCTGGCCTAAAGTGGTCATCTCCTTTTACTTTTCTTACAACATTAGTGATGGAGTACCCAAATACCTTTACATTTATTATTTGTAGTTAATAAAAGTGATATATTCTGTATAATACCTATCAGATTAATTTTATTTAACTTCATATAAACATATACACATGATATAAAAAGGTTTCTTTGTATATTTGAATATTTTCTTCCATGCTAATTTTTTTTTAACTTTGTAGAGGAAATAGTTGCATACTCGCTGATGAAATGGGCCTTGGAAAAACAATACAGACGATCTCATTTCTGAATTATTTGTTTCATGAACATCAATTATATGGACCTTTTCTATTGGTAGTACCGCTCTCCACTCTTACTTCCTGGCAAAGGGAAATTCAGACATGGGCTTCTCAAATGAATGCTGTGGTTTATTTAGGTGACATTAACAGCAGAAACATGGTAAGTTGTTTCCCTGTAAATGTAGAAATAAAAATGTACTTGTCTTTGGGATCGAGCGTTTTTGTTGTTGTTGTTGTTGTTGTTGTTTTGAGATGGGGTTTCACTCTGTCTCCCAGGCTGGAGTGCAGTGGTATGATCTTGGCTCATTGCAACTGGGACCACAGGAGCACACCACCACACTCAGCTAATTTTTTATATTTTTTAGTGGAGACAGGGTTTTGCTGTGTTGCCCAGTCTGGTCTTGAACTCCTGAGCTCAAGTGATCTGCCTCCCTTGGCCTCCCAAAGTGGTGGAATTATAGGCATGAGCCACTGTTCTTGGCCTAACAAGGATGAAGGGTTTTGTTTTGTTTTGGTCTTTATAAAAATCTTTGTTTCTGGCATAGAACTTGCCACAAATAAGTTCTCAGTACATGTTTAATTAACTATAACAAAGTCAGTTTTGGTTTAGTGTTACTTCATATATATATTTGACTGGTTTTGTGTGGTTTTTTTTTTTTTTTTCTTTTTTTTTTCTTTTCACTCTGTCATCCAGGCTGCAGTACAGTGGTACGATCTCGGCTCATTGCAACCTCTGCCTCCCAGGTTCAAGTGATACTCCTGCCTCAGCCTTCCAAGTAGCTGGCATTACAAGTGCCTGCCACCACGCCCGGCTAATTTTTGTTTTTTTAGTAGAGATGAGGTTTCGCTATGTTGCCCAGGCTGGTCTCAGACTCCTGACCTCAAGTGATCCACCCACCTTGGCCTCCCAAAGTGCTGGGGGGATTTACAGGCATGAGCCACCACGCCCCCATATTTTACATTTTTAATGGAAAATTTCAAATATACATGAGAGAAGACAGAAGAATGTAATAAACCCTCATGTTCTCATCTTCAGTTTCACAAATTTACTGATAGTTTTGTTTTATCTATACCTCTTCACACTACTTTCCTAGTTACTGTGAAGCCAACCCCAGACATCGTATTTCCTCCATAAACATTACATTATTAAATGAATTAATCACTAATGTTTTCTTAAATAAGACCTTTTGTGAAAGATATGCTTTAAAATTGTGTTTACTTCATTTTTTAACAAATGCTGTGGTATTTATGCTTTATTTATAAGATTTACATAGCATTTTGGACTATATAAAGAATAACTCAGGCCAGGCGCGCTGGCTCATGCCTGTAATCCCGGCACTTTGGGAGGCCAAGGTGGGTGGATCATCTGAGGTCGGGAATTCGAGACCAGCCTGACCAACATGGAGAAACCCCGTCTCTACTAAAAATACAAAATTAGCTGGGTGTGGTGGTGCATTCCTGTAATTCTAGCTACTCGGGAGGCTGAGGCAGTAGAATCGCTTGAACCCGGGAGGCAGAGATTGTGGTGAGCCAAGATCATGCCATTGCACTCCAGCCTGGGCAACAAGAGCAAAACTCTGTCTCAAAAAAACCACAAAAACTCTTTTATTACATAAACATATATTAATAGTCATTTACACATTTGAATGGATTTTTATTTTTAGATATGTAAGTAAAAGTATAATTTGCTTGATGTTTGTCTTAAAATTGTCCTTCAAATTTCTTGATAGATAAGAACTCATGAATGGACACATCATCAGACCAAACGGTTAAAATTTAATATACTGTTAACAACTTATGAAATTTTATTAAAGGATAAGGTATGTATTTATTTCTCACGTGTTTTTGTCTCTTGTATATCAGTTTTTTCTTTATCATATGCTGTGGCCAAGGTGAGAGAATAGCCTAAATCATGAGTCAGCAAACTCTAGCCTGTGGTCTTATTTTTTCAATGGTGCTTGAACTAAGAGTGGTTTTTACCTTTTTGGAAGGTTACATTTAAAGGGTCGTAGAAAGAATATGTAACAGAGACCATATACTTATCCGCAAAGTCTGAAATATTTACTATCTGGCTCTTTTTAGAAAAACCTTGCCAACTCGGTCTAATGAAACTAGTTTGTTATAGTGTGTATTGATTTGTAAGCTCTTTAAAGAGAAGGAAGATAACTAATAGGATTAAGCTACCCCTGTGTGAAGCAATGAAGGCTTTATGGATACTGCCTTACTTAATTCCTCCATCTACTTTATATTCGCTTTCTCTACTTTATGGAAAAGAAAACGGGACTCAAGAGTGTCTCAAAGAATGTAATGAACTTGCCTATGGTAACACAACTCTTAAGTAGTGGAATCAGGCTTGCTGTAACTTGGAGACCTAAGTTTAAGAGATTTCTACAGTTCATAAAAGTTGTACAAAGAATTGTACCTGCACTTGGAATAAGATGCTGTTCTGAATTTGTGTCTTAGTTTTTTTTCATATTGACATTAATAGAGGCTTCTATTGGGCTTAGGCTAAAAATCTTTTGTAAAAATTTTCAATGACACTACTGATTTTTCTCTGTTAATTATGTTTATAAGCTAATAAAAACTTTAGCTTGATATTACGTTCTAGTGGTTAAATTTGTCATAGAAGGAATATGTGCTGAGTTACTTGTGTGTTGTAATCTTGAAATTACAATTTTTTATTTGAAAATTAGACAAAGCGTGTTTTTAATTTTTGTTTCATTTTAATAATAGAGTTCAGATTTAATGGTAAGGCTAAATCTGAATTCCATTTTTCTCTCAAAATATTGTTTTTGTATTTTAAGGCATTCCTTGGAGGTCTAAATTGGGCATTTATAGGTGTTGATGAAGCACACCGATTAAAGAATGATGACTCCCTTCTCTATAAAACTTTAATAGATTTTAAATCCAATCATCGTCTTCTTATCACTGGAACTCCTCTACAGAATTCCCTCAAAGAGCTCTGGTCTTTGCTACATTTCATTATGCCAGAAAAGTAAGACAAATTTACAATTTTAATCATAGTTTTGTGTGGTTATATTTAGTGGGAAGAAACCCAGGTAATAAGGTCAGTAAGAGTTTTTATTGCCCTAAAAGATTAGATCACAGATCACTAAGAATTTTTAAAAAAGGAAAATGAGGTCAGGTAGTTTGTAATACCGTTTCAATTTTTCAATTTTGTTAGTAAACTTAAGCCATGTGTTATAAATCACAACAGTTGATTTTGCACATGTTCAAAATATACCTTGCTTGAAAAACTAACATAGTAACATTCTTTGTATTTAATAGTAGGAGTAACAACAATGAGGTGCTGGCAATCCTTTTTTCTAAATGAGGAAAACTAGACTAGACTAGGCTAAATAAGTTCCCTAAGGTCACTACTTGTTCTTTTTCAGTAGGTCCAGAACTTTAAAAGTATTTTTTTTGAGAAATATTTTAGTGATAATTACTCCCATACCTCAAAATACTTCATATTCACTTGATTCAAGAATCATAACTTATAAAACTAATTATATTTCATCATGCATCTTCTTGGGAGGGAAATTTTTAGAAGTAACTAAGTTTTTTTTTTTTTTTTTTTTGAGATGGAGTCTCGCTGTGTCGCCCAGGCTGGAGTGCGGTGGTGCGATCTTGGCTCACTGCAAGCTTGCAAGCTTGCAAGCTCTGCCTCCTGGGTTCACGCCATTCTCCTGCCTCAGCCTCCAGAGTAGCTGGGACTGAAGACGCCCACCACCACACCTGGCTGATTTTTTTGTATTTTTAGTAGAGACGGGGTTTCACCATGTTAGCCAGGATGATCTCCATCTCCTGACCTCGTGACCCGCCCATCTCGGCCTCCCAGAGTGCTGGGATTACAGGCGTGAGCCACCGTGCCCGGCCAGTAACTAAGTTTTTAGCTAATTTTTTATTCTAAAAATCTGTAGTATTTTGTTTATAAATGACTCTCCTAAAAAAAAAAAAAAAAAACTCATATGCAGTTTGACTTTTTCTAGTGATTGTTCCAATTTCTTAAATTTTAAAGGTTTTCTTCCTGGGAAGATTTTGAAGAAGAACATGGCAAAGGGAGAGAATATGGTTATGCAAGCCTTCACAAGGAACTTGAGCCGTTTCTGTTACGCCGAGTTAAGAAAGATGTGGAAAAATCTCTTCCTGCCAAGGTTGAGCAGATTTTAAGAATGGAAATGAGTGCTTTACAGAAACAATATTACAAGTAAGCTGTACACAGAGCACATGTTCTGAACTTTTAATTCTGAATAACTTCCATGTCTGTGTCCTGCTCTTGGTGCCCCCACCTTCTCTACAATAGTGTCGTAGAGCAGTTGCAATTCTTGAGTTTTAGAATAAGTTTATTCTGTGTCGTTAGGAGGCAAAAGGAGATTTAATGACATGTCCAAAATGATGAGTAACAAGACTAATTTATCTTCTAACACATCATTAATTGCTTTCCTGTATATCATACTGTTACATTATAAAAAGTTTAAGTGTTAGGATTTCCACGATATGAAGGTATTATTTGATTATGACAGTTAACAGAAGCCAAAAAAAGAAACTTAGAACTAAATTTTAGGCCCTGCTGCTTTTTGAAGAGTATTAACAGATCATAGCTGGTATAAATTTTGTATGTCAGGATCTATACAGTAGGACTTTCCAAAGAGTCAGAAAGGAAAATCTGTTCTAATATCTATTTAAACATTTAATTGCATAAAAGGAAATACATTGCTACATGCATTTGGTGTTTCGAAACATTTATATTTTATGGTAAATCTATAGGTGCCACACATTTGAAAGAATATACTTACTGCATAATTATTTTTGTTATGGAAAATTTCAGACATGTACAAAAATAGGATAATTTAATGAACTCTTATACCCATGACTCAGCTTTACTTTTTTTGTTTGTTTGTTTGTTTTTTGTGAGATGGAGTCTTGGCTCACTGCAACCTCCGCCTTCCGGTTTCAAATGATTCTGGTGCCTCAGCCTCCCGAGCGGCTGGGTTTACAGGTGTGCCCCACAATGCCCTGCTAATTTTTTTATTTTTAGTAGAGACAGGGTTTTGTCATGTTGGCCAGGCTGGTCCTGAACTCCTGACCTCAAGCGATCCACCCGCCTCAGCCTTCCAAAGTGCTGGGATTATAGGTGTGAGCTTCTGTGCCCAGCCCCAGCTTCACTTTCCTCTCAAGCCAGTCTTTTTATGTATCTCTGATCATCCCCATTTCCCTCAGTAACTATCCTTTTGAAGCAGATCAGACATTTTTCCATAAATATTTTTCTATGTATTTCTAATAATTGATTTTTAAAAATACTAGTATCACCTGGGCATGGTGGCTCATGCCTGTAGTCCCAGCACTTTGGAGAGGCTGAGGAGGGACAGATCACTTGAGCCTCAAGAGTTTGAGACCAGCCAGGGCAACATGGCAAAACCCTGTCTCTACCCAAGATACAAAAAAATTAGCCAGGAGTGGTGGTGGGTGCATGTGGTCCCAGCTACTTGGGAGGCTGAGGTGGGAGGATCGCTTGAAGCCCATGAGGCAGAGGTTGCAGTGAATCGAGGTCATGCCACTGCACTCCAGCCTGGGTGACAGTGAGACCCCATCATAAATAACCCACTTTAAAATTTTCACAATTTAGGAAATTATTGCTCTCTCAACAGAATCAAGTAATTTCTTGATGCCAGTATTCAGTATCTGTTCAGAATTTCTCTGTCTCAAAAAATTTTTTTACGTTTACTCAAATCAGGATTGAGTTAGGTTCATATATGGCAATTGATTTGTCTCTGAGTTTATCCATAGGTACTTCTTTTTTGTTAAAATGTATATGATGAGGAAAACAGTTCTGTAGAATTTTTCTACAATCTAGATTTTGCATAGTACTTCCCTCTAAAATAGTTTAACAGTATCCCCTGTATTCCCTATAGATCGGTAGTTAGATCTAGGTGCTTGATAATATTCAAATTAATAATTATGATAAGAGTATATTTTGTAGTACACAATGGCGATTATCTGATTTTGTTATCGGGTTCTTTTAAAAAAAGTAATGCATTTTGTAGAATATCTGGGAAGAAAAGTCAAAGTAGGAAGAAGATACATTCACCTGTAATTCTCTCAGTGCTAGTCATATATCATGAATGTTGAACTTAAACTCTTCAGGGTACTTTTTGGCAACTAAGGTAATAAGATACTGCCATAAATTTCTGGAAAAATTCTTAGAATTATTATCTCTAGAGAAATTAATAATAAACTTTTTCTGGATAAGGAAAAATAATTCTTTATTCTTGATTACCTCTTATGGCATTGAGCATTGTCCATGGGTTTTGTTTTGCTTTTCATTCCAGTTTTGGGGAACTGCCTGTATAACTAGTGGTAAAGAATGGTAATAAAAGAGTATGTACACTAGATATTTGAGACTTTGAAGTCCCTTCAAAAACTGACCTTGTTAAAAGGAGGAAAATAAAAGGTGGAAAAGGTCGTGGTGAGAGGAAATTTTTCTTTTCTTTTTAAAATTCAGCTTTTATTTTAGATGCTGGAGGTATATGTGCAGGTTTGTTACATGGGTAATATTGCATCCAGGTAGTGAGCATGGTATGCAGTAGGTAGTTTTCAACCCATGTTCCCTTCATTCCCCCCTCTAGTAGTCCACAGTGTTACATGTTTATGTCCATGTGTGCGCAGTGTGTAACTTGCACTTATAAGTGAGAACATGGGATGTTTGGTTTTCTGTTTCTGTGTTAATTCACTTAGAATTATGGTCTACAACTATATCCATGGACATTATTTTATTTGAAGGACATCATTTCATCCTTTTTTTTCTGTGGCTGTGTAGTATTCATGGTATATATATACAAAAAATATGGAGGGTTCGTGGATTTGCATGTCATCCTTGTACAGGGACCATGCTAATCTCTGTATCGGTCCAGTTTTAGTATAAGTGCTGCCGAAGTGAGCACAGAAATTGTTACATATAGTTAGGAGCAGTAAAATAGCACCAAGGTGTTTTCTGTAAGTTGCATATGTATTGTGTAATTGCAATCTAGAGAAGACAGTTGTGGCTAAAACCAGGTATCCTCAGGTTTCTTTTAGGTCCATGTAGAAGATTCAATTTCATTAGATGTCTAATGCAGTGAAAGTTGTAAGAATATTAAGATAAGTAATGCAGGCGACCATCTTTTTAGCAAATTTGAGGGGAAAAGGATTAATACTCTGTAATAATTATGTTACATTAGCCTGTTCTGTGTGTAGCTAATGGTTCGGAAAACAAGTTGTGTTCTCATGAGTATTATGAAAGAGGCTTGGTCCATCATATATCCAGTTGTGAATTTCATAATGGTACAGTTTT